ATCAGCAGCTCCCAAAAGAAAGAAGGTGCAGGCCCTTGCATCTAGCTTTCTTCACAACAGCTCTTATCCATGAAGGAGCAGATCTTGGACTCAGCAGAACTCCTTAACTCAGCCAACAACACTGGAAGGGAGGAACGTGCTCAGAGCCCTGATAATTGGGGCCAGCTTCAACCATTACTAAAATGGCAGTCCCTCCCAGATTATTATTTTTTTAAATCTTAATATTAGTATCCACAATTTAATGGATGTTTTCCTAAAGCTGTGGTCATCTGTTTTTGCATTTTGTATAAGACATCATGGATTATATATAAACATTAAACATTCATCCTGGTGCTTCAAATAATCTAGTTTTCCATCAGCTCAAAGAATTTAATCAACTACTAATTATCAGAATTTTATTACTTTGTGCATAAACTTGCAGGATAAATTATAGATTCACTGTTAATGTAACTTTGCTGATGTCTTTAGCTATAACTGTAAGTGTAATTGTTCCCCAGGAACATTACTCCTCATTATTTTAAGACTTAAAATACTATTTTCTTTTGTTCTTTTTTTTTTTAAACCATTTTTACATGACAAGAAGGATACACAGTTTCTAGTAAACGTATAGGTGTAACTACATACCGATGTCTAGAATCACATTTCTAAAGCACAGAAATATAGCTAGATGTTGACAGAGGAAAGCCTTTAATTTATGTACTTAAATTCAGGGGATTTAAGGACAGCCTGAAAATGAGCCTATGCTTAAATGCTTTACTGAATAAGTGCTAAGGAAAATATCCTTTAGCCTTTCAGTTCTTCTGCTTTGAAGTTCAACTTTTGATGGTTATTGATTCTATCTACCATGTGCAAAACTTCAGGCTTTGCCTTTACTTCTGTACTTACAAAAGTTAATGGGAATTTGCAAGCGATATATTAGGAACAGAAAAGAATCAGAGCTTTATTTTGGAGTGGGAGCAATTTCACATAAATTGATTTTCAATTGTTTTTTTTATTGTCAGCAAGAGTGGGGTGGCTCTACAAAGGGAGGCAATCCAGGAGCCAAGAGTGACCAGGCACAGGTAGGGGCAGTGACCCTGCCAACAGGGGTGCAATCCCACAGCTCCGAGTCAGGCAAGTAGAACAGGGTTGGTGACAGTGATGGGTTTTGTTGACAGTCCAGTGATCATCCGAGAAATGAGAAGTGATGAGTCAGGTCTGTGGTCAGTTCGGGAAGTCCAATCAACAACTAGGGGACAGGACTGAGCACAGGTTCAGAGCTGCCCACAACATAGCTTGGGTGAGGACTCGGGGCACAGGCTAGTACTTAAATAGAGCTCCCAGGTAGAGGTCCCAGACAAAGCTACTCAGGGTAGTTAAGGCCTACGGGCCTTAACTTAATGCACACACAGGGCCCTGGTATTTCTTGATGGATTAACATTAGATTTCACTACCTTGATATTTTAAGAATTCACAGACAGAAAAAAAACAAATCTCATGTTAGATACAGGAACAAGCCTCAGACTCTTGTGCAAACATCCTAGTCACAGGAATTTATCAACTTTTAGAGAACCATTTCCATTTCTATTGACATATGTGATAAATATGTTTACAAAGGGTCTTAGAAAGAACATAAATTACTTAGTGAAAGGAAGAGAAGAAATGGTTAACAAACAGGAAAGGCTAATGGCTTAGTGTTCTGTCAATAATACTCTATTCACAGATTTCAAAGTGCTTCTCAAAGAAGCTGAAGAAACTGAAATGGAGCAAAACCAAGAAACTGTGCCTAAGCCACCCAGTAGATCAAGATCAGAGAACACAGATCTCTTGAATTTACAGTGGATCACAATCTTAACAAGAATAAACAATATGGTGCTGTTGAAAAAAAAAGTTACATATATTTAATATATAAAAGTAATAAGTTGATACATATATACTCCTTCTCCATAGATTTATTGCAACCTTTATTGCAAGGTTTCTATATTTAACAATCATAACAAGATCCCCCTCACAATGCCAATAGTTTGGCAGTTCTTTTCTTTCCATATTTCTAAAACATAAGAACACTGCTTATAAAGACAAGCACAGATCAATTTCTCTCATAGGGTCTACCGACTGGATCATCTACTGTGCTGAACAACCTGGAACAGATGCACCTCTTTCCACTCCCTCAGCCACATACGGTAGAACAGCTACTGCTGCTACAGGCAATGGCAGACAGCTTTGTACCTTGCATCTGTGTTTCATCTTGTCTCTCACCTTTTGCAATGTCTGTAGTCTGTCTCTGGGAATTCTCATTTCCTGAACTCCTCTTCTGTGAAGAGAAAGTGACCTACAATCAGAAGAGCAATACATTGTCAGGCATTCTTACCTCAAATATAGCAATTTCTTTAGATTGCTTTCACAAGGAAATGAGTCTTATGCAGTCACCCTCTACCAACCGCTTTCCTCATAACTGGGTACATGCAAGAGATCTAAACGTGTGAGCAAGTGAGAAAAAGACCAAAACATGAGTACAGCAATGATCTGTTTTGGTGGGCTGGTGACAAGGCCATGGGTGCATTTGTATTTTTGAACTAGCCTGAGCTGGAATGCTGGTTTTGAGCAGCCAGTAGTTTCTCAGAACACACAGAGGTATGAGGTGTTGTTATCCCCCTACACTGCTGAGCTACTAAACCTCTTCACTTTTGAGAGGGGTCTGGTAAGAAAATGGAAAATTTACGAAGCCCCTGGAGACAGGAAGGAAGCTTGGAAGCAGGGGACTGTTGAGACAGGCTTTTGGGCCTCTGACGCTGATAACGCTTAGAGGTACAACAAATAATCAGGTGGGAGTTGGGGTTGTGTGGGAAGAATCAGGGAATTGCTAATATTGAGGTAAGAAAATATAAAACATATAGCAATAGGAAAAAATGAGTTTTGCTGCTCATAAACAATTTTTTTTCCTTCAGATGCAAATTTCACTTGTCATATTATCCTTGCAACACAGGCATTATTATCACCATTTTACAACTGTGAAATTTTGGCAAGAAATTGGATTACTTGCCTATATGCAAAAAAAAAAATCATAGTCAGTGCTGAAATTCAAGAGTTCATATAACATAAATGTCTCTGAAATATCAATGTACCTAGTGTAGACAGTCCTCAGAATATCCTTGACAACTGATAGTTTAACAATAACCAGAAACTTACAATAGCTATAGTCTTTGAAACGTGGTCTGTTTTTCCTTTAAATCTACGTAAAGAAGTCTGTCGGATTCTCTCACTTGTAATAACGCAAGCTCCCAAAATAAAATGCATGTGCTTCTGATAAACTGAGCACTCCAGATTTACTGTTAAAACTGTAATAATTGTCACGCACAGGCTGTAATGAAACAGTAATACAAACTGTTCCCAGTACAACACCTGTTATATAGTGCCCTACTGAACAAGAAATGACTAGTTGCACCCAGGGAATGGGCAGGCTCTCCAAAGTGAAATCTATAAAATACGACAGCTGTCAGGGTGTGTTCGCTTACAGTTCTAGCTACCTTGACAACATCTCCTTAATCCACTCTTCTATCTCGCTCTCTATTTGCCTTTGTCCTTCCAAGAGAAACAGAATTGCATATTTGCAGTACAATTACTTCACAAAGCCATAAACCTTTGGCTTTAAGAGCCAAACCTGGGCTTCCTTTTGCAAAGGCTCAGTTTTGCAGGTACGCGTGCGTAAATCATTTACGCATGCACCTAGGCCGTGTCTGTATTGTACATGTTACGTGTGGCCACAACTTCCACATGTAGTTGACTGCACGTACTTACCGTGCCTGCAGAGAGGGGCCAAGCTGAGGCCCCTCTGAAGCTGGGCCTTCCACGGCGTGCTGTGCCGTGCCGTAAGGAAGCCACTGCACTTTCTCAACTGACTAACGCTTGCTGCAATGACACTTGCAAAACTAGTTTATCGAGCTGCTTGTTGAAAGCAGCTCAGCAAACAGCCCTGTGATTGTGGGCACACAGCTCCAGCGAAGCCAGCAGCGCAGGAGCCAGAGCCCTAGCAGCGCAGAAAGGACTATTTTTGGCTTTTTTACTTCCTCTCCGCCGACTGTAGGGAAGGTAGCTGGGTCGAGCGAGGACGCCAGAACAACCCCCGGGCGTCTCATGGGGGCTGGCGTCGAGAGGGAGAGAGAGGCAGCTGAGGGAAAGCAGAGCCAACAGGCAGGAAGAAGCAGAGGAAGGGGAAAGCGAGAGAGAAAGGAGAGCAAGGGGCACCCAGCAGAGGACGAGGAGGAAGAAGTAGCGGCGAAGGCGAGGGAAGGAGGCGGGTAGAGGAGGCAGCCGCGGGAGGCGGGAGCAGCCCGGGCGGAAGGAGGAGCGGGCGGGCGAGCGCAGCCAATCCAGGGGGCTCGGCCATTTTTCGGTGTGAGTCAGGCGAGTCGG